GTGCCTGGGTGGCTCAGTGGGTTGAGCCGCTGCCTTCGGCTCAGGTCATGATCTCAGGGTCCTGGGATCGAGTCCCGCCATCGGGCTCTCTGCTCAGCGGGGAGCCTGCTTCCCTCTCTCTCTCTCTGCCTGCCTCTCTGTCTACTTGTGATCTCTGTCTGTCAAATAAATAAATAAAATCTTTAAAAAAATAAAATAAAATAAAATAAATAAAGATAAGTCCCATTTAAAACATGTTCTACAAATTCTTACAGATTTTAAGCTCTCATAATACTAACTTACCAAAAGTTGTTCCACCAGTTTCTTCACATTCTGCCCCATTTCTGGGGACTGTGATCCACTACATGCTAGTTTTATTAACATTGCAAGGAAGTTCTTACATTTCTTCACATTTTCTAGCATCGCCTAAATAGAAAAATACAAACACAAATGTTAGCTGGAAAACAGAATTCAAGAAAATTTGTAAAGAGCCATATTCATGGAAGATGGAGAGGAGAGCTTACCGGAGAAAGACTTGTCTGAGCAGCTGCTGAGCTCTCTGCTTTGAGACTGGGCTCATTTGAGGGGGCAGCTGATGCTCCCAAAGTTGAAGGCTTCAAGGTAGTTACAGAATTCAACGGCTTTACAGGAGTAACTGTGACAACATTCGTTGGCGCAGCTACAGACTGAAATTAAAAGTAGTGCACATTTAGATATGTCTAACTATGAACTATACCACAGCAGGCACCTCACTTCCCACTTACCAGGCTACAAATGGATCTTGACATCTTCGCTTTCATGTTACGCTCTACTAGTCTAAGGCATCGGAACACTGTTGTAAGAGCTCTGGACTTCAGTAGATCTGGGTTTCATTCTCATCTACCTACCTACTTTATCTTTTTCTTTTATGTTCAATTAGCCAGCATATCTACCTACCTACTTTTCCCTGACACCTACTGAGTATTGACCTCAAGCAAGTTACTTAATCTTGCTCATCCTCTGATTCCTGTCTTTAAAAAAACAAGGATAGAAATGGTACCTCCCTATTCTCCTAGGGTTGTTTCTGAAAAACAGTACCAAGAGCATGGTCCTCAAAACACATTATTAATAATTCTCTAAAAAGAATTTGAAATAATAAGTCTTTATATGAAAATATAGAATATTCTATTCCACAATTTTCTGCTTTTTCTTAAGTATAAAGCAGAGAGATCTACTGATCATCTTATATTCAGATAAGCTGCTTTTATGTAGACTATTAGAGTAAGCATAACGAATATTACAAACTTTGATATCTTATTTTCACACTGACAAGAATTTTGGTTAGGTCTTCCACCTTCTATTGAAATGAAGTGTGATTATAGCACCACCTGCAGGATAAAAAGTTTAATACAAGAAATCGCAAGTCAGGCAATAATTTAGACAACTCTATGAGTTAAAGCAAAAATCTTATTTTAAAACAAGCACTGAAAATTACAGAACATAAGTAAAGTTTGAAGGTGATGGGGGTGACAATGATATTTACAACTGACCCAGAAAACTGAAATTGCACCATGATTTTAAATATTTGTATACTAGAGGCCTACAACACAAAAAGGTCAGGTTGTGATCACCTTTGAGAATATTTCCTTTGCTAACAGTCAAAATAAGTGCAAATGTACACCAAAATTTCCCACTTTAGAAAGACTGGAGCCTATATTAGATGAAGCATGCTTTAAGGGTAAAAATGGGAGAAAGAAAAAACACGGATTAATGATGAAAACTAGAATGATGAAATGTTAAGCAAAAAAGGTAAAATTAAAAATTGTACCTAAGTTAGTAAACTTTATTAAAGTAGCTCTCAAGGCAACAATGAAAATGAGTCACCTTCCTATTCCTAGCCTTAGTCTTGCTCTCCAAGGACAACTACTGTGCAGTTTCTCTGAATCCTTTTGGAGACTTGATGTCAAATTTTTTCAGGTTAATCTACAGTAATTAAATACTCTTTCTTCAGTGAGTCTGTATTTATTCTCTGCCATTAACCCCTTAAACTACTATTAAAGAAAGCATAATCTAAAACTTTAGCTAGTGATTATGATTACCTTTCTGGACCAATGGGAAGCGTTCCTCAGGGAACCTCAATGTTCCTCTCCCTTATGAAGCAAAATAAGGGTCAATGAAATGTGAGCTCAGAAAAAGCATCCTATTTTTTGTGAAGAGAGGAAGCATTTATGGCATTTCTACTTTCCTTGTTAATATTTTACTGTCTCTAGTACTAAATCTGTCCTTCATAACTCTCTCTTTTTTTTTTAAAGATTTTCTTTATTTGACAGAGAGAGAGAGATCACAAGTAGGAAGACAGGCAGGCAGAGACAGAGGGGGAAGCAAGCTCCCCACCAAGCAGAGAGCCTGATGCAAGGCTCGAACCCAGGACCCTGAGATCATGACCTGAGCTGAAGGCAAAGGCTTAACCCACTGAGCCACCCAGGTGCCCCCTTCATAACTCTTTCTAATACAACTATTAACTGTACCTTACCAGATACTTGCACCTTCCATGCCAACTCTTCCTCTTAAGAGGCACAGGGAGGCACACAACCCCAGTCTACTCTACCTACATAATCCCACTGCAGTAATGGGTGGACCACCATCTTAAACTCAAACATAACTCCTGATATTATAGCCCATCCCATTCTATTTCCATGCTTTGCAAGACCACACTGGCACTGATGATGAATGTCTGGGGGGTGTGACCTAGAAGCTGGCAGCCTACTAAAGTATCAGAAGAGCCTGTAGAAGGCACAGGTGAGGTGCAAACTCAGAGGCAGTATTAAAGGAAGATGGAATTCCATCCTCCAAGACTCAATGTAAACTGCATCAAGAAGTTCTTTATGGTACTATCTCCAATAGGACAAATACACGAAAACCAAGCAATAGAGGAGCAGAGGGATGAATGGAATCACTTATCATCACTCCCAAAGACACAATGGGGGACTCTGTGCTTCCCATTTCTGCCCACATGGGACATACTTTCACAAGAGGACACAGCAAGAGTTCCCATAAACTAGACACCATGGCTGCCTCCTGGGTACTTCAGGTTCCTAGCGTCCAGGGAACAACAGTAAAGAATCATTACCGTGGCAGGGGTAAGTGACCTGACATCTAGAATAGGTAGGGTTGCTATTACACAATGGAGACTGAGAAGAATATGATTGGTGAAACTAGGTGATCCAGTTAAGCACCTGCTGGCGTTTCCTTGCCCAACTGTATGGCCAGTGGACAAGTCCAGTAACTCTTGCTTCAAGAAAGCATGAGGATTAGGACCTCAGATCTCTCAGGGACGAAGGTCTGGTCACACTACCGGTTAAGTTACCAAGACCAGTAGAGTTATTAATTGAGATTGGAGGGAATCTAGAATGAATAGAATAGGGTAGTGAAGGAAGGACATGATGACTATCAGCCACAGTGGTGGGGACTGTAGTTTATCCTAGTACCTCCTCTTCTTTGTTTCCCCAAGGACGAAGCCCACTGGAATCCCAAAAGATCTGGCCTCTAACATGTTTCAGGAAGTAGATCCCAGGGACACAAGAAGTAAACCATGATATGCCATTAAAAGGAAATCTGTGTTGTCTCAGCTGTTGGGAACGCTATTATGTCAGATGCCAATTCTTTCAGAGTTTGTTTCACCTACAGAGAATTACCTTGCCCAATAGCACAACTCTCCCTGTGGAGTTGACAACCAGTGACTTAAGACGGAGGGCGAATTAAGGCCCAGCTGACCAATGCTGGCACACAGTAGAACAACTCTGACAGGCCCTATTTCCTCCACCTAGTTGGCAGAGGCTTTACAGGGCCTGCATCTAATTCAAAGTCTTATTCTCCTTCCCTTCCACAGATATTAATAACTAATAAATACCTCCTATGCCAAAATTCTATCCCAGCAACTGCTTCTAGACACACTGACATATGGTTATTAGATGCATTTGTATTAATTTAATACATTCAAATAAAACTGATATTTTAAGAATATACACCATCTTTATCTTGTGTTTTCCACACCTCCAATAGTTCCCACTTTGATAAGTGTCACCAAGTATCACTGACTTGCTTTCTTCAAGGTCACATGGTCATTGTGCAACTTATACATCTGGCAGGAAAAAGCTAAGTGAGAAGATGATGAGACTAAAAACCAGTGCATGCATGGACACAAGTCAGTCACAACTTACTTGTACTGAGGAAGGCTTTGGAACAGTGGTTACCACAGTAGTTCCTATTTGTGCCAATTTTTTAACAGGTGCCACTGCCACTTTCTTAATTAACTGTGAACTAGAATTCTGGAGGGGGGAGAGAGGAGATATAATAGTCATCAGCATTAATAATTTTAAATCAATCAGTGCTGCAGAAAAACATTACACATTGAAACACTTCACCATAGCAAACTCCTTTGTTGTAAGTGGCTTTACAACCTTATAGATTTTAAGCACATTCACCACTATGAACCTAACTGGTCAACTGGCCAACTGACACCCATTTTGTATTCCTAAGGAGGCAACTGATTTAACAAATAAATATCACAGTATTTTAGCATTAAAATCTTGAACTTTATTCTTTGGCTTATAGAGAAGATAAATGTATTCTTATTTATCATCTAATTATAAACAAAAATCTGCTACCTATATTCTCAACTCACAGCAGCTGATAAAGCAAATTAGAAAGGAAAGGAGCAGCTGTCACTGAACGAGAACAGCAACAGAGAAAATAGTCAGGAACCTGGAACCAAATACTAGGAAAGCATAAAATGAGGGCTAGCAGGGGAAGTGGACAGAACTACCAAAGAATATTACCACAGAATATTATGCAATCCTTCATTAGGATGAGCCTGACTCGTCAAGAAAATGTTATACTACATTCAGCATTTATTTTACTGAGAAAGATACCATTAAAAATGTTTTATTGTATTTTTTTGTTTTTATTGTATTTTTTCTTTTTCTTTCCCTTTTTTGTGTAAAAAAATTTTTTTAACCTCTGACACACAAGATAAATTTTAGTTATCTGGAAAAATTATCATGTATGTACTAACACCACCAACTAATGAAATATTACAGATTTCTGAATTTCTTAAAAAATCAGTCCTGTAAGATATGTATAAAAATGCATACCATAAACTGTAGTGTTAATATTTTACCACAAACTAAAATTGAAACAGAATGATTATTTTCTTTCCATTTAGAGATACAAATAGCCCACTGAACATTCCCCTGATTATTCCCTTGATAAAATCTTTGAATATGAAGACTGAATCATTATTATTTTAGCAATTACCAAACGACAAAACTAAACACCTTAACTAATATGTTTAAAGAAAGTGGCTTAATCGGGGCACCTGGGTGGCTTAGTGGGTTAAAGCCTCTGCCTTCGACTCAGCTCATGATCCCAGAGTTCTGGGATGGAGCCGCATCGGGCTCTCTGCTCAGCAGGGAGCCTGCCTCCCCAGCCCCCAACAAGCCCCCCGCTGCCGCCTGCCTCTCTGACTACTTGTGATCTCTGTCAAATAAATAAATAAAATCTTAAAAAAAAAAAAAAAGAAAGTGGCTTAATTCAAAAAGTTGAGCAGAATCTTCTATTATTTTTGACAGATACATACACATTTATATGAAGAAAATAGCTGGAAAATTAAGGAGAATTAAAAAAACCTAAGGAATATTACCGGCATTGTACAGATTTTGACTGTATGAGTATTCGCTGGTACAGCTGGCCTTGAAGTCATGTTAGTAGTGGTCTCTGCTCTTGTCACAGCTTGCTGAGGAGATACCAGCATCAACTGGCCACTGTTACTTTTGATCAAAACTGTTCCTAGAGTTAAAAGAAAACAAAACAGGACTTCTAAGCTAATAAATGAAACAATCGTCATATATTTTGTGTTCTGATCATTTCTTTCAACACTGTAAAATGCTCTGAAAAAGTGATTAATACATACTGAACTCCATGTATACTAATTATTATGTAATATGGAAAAAATGTTTTCACTCAAAGCTACTTAAAAGAAGCCAAACGCTTTTCCTTCATGACATCAAACTATAAAACAGTAAGATGGTATGGTAATAGAACCAGACTACACAAAGTAACCAATGGAATAAACTGGAGAATTCCAAAACAGACTCATGCAGATATATCATATCAATTTCTCCTAGAAGGCACTGCAGATTAGTGAGAAAAAGAGCAACTATTCAATAAATAACGCTGTGTCAATAAGTTATCTATATGGAAAAGGTTAAAAGTTTCAAACCACACACAAAACCCCAAGGGCATTAAGAATACAAAGGTAAAAGGTAAAACCTTTTAAACTCTTAGATAGTGTAGAAAATTATCTTTCTGAACTTGGGATAGGGAAGAATTTCTTAAATAAGTCTGTTGCATTCGAGTATATTAAAAAAAAACACTTTTGTTTAGCAGAAGACATTATCAGGTAAAAAAAAACAGAAGACAAAACGGGAGAAAATTTTAGTTCACTTATGTTCAAAGGACAAAAGGCCAACAAAACACAGATGGCAATGATAAGGAAAAGTAAATTAAGACCACAGTGAGGTATCACTTTGTATATACCTAGACAGACAAATTAATTAGTCCAATGACAATATGAAGTGTTAGATCTGCAGCAATAGGAACTCTACCATCTTGATGATGGTAATATAATTTGGTACAATTGCTTTGTTCGACTTTACATGATTGTGCCAAATTGATTCCCATTTGCACACTCTTTAACCCAGTATTTCTAATCTAAAGAAATTCTTGTCCATGTCAGTAGGAGGTGCAAATAAGAATATCCATAGCTGAAGTTCCATTTCCAGAATGGGAGCATGAAGAGCTCAACAAACCTGCTCCCCAGCAAAGGAAGCATAACTGGTGAAAATTATTTTTAAAAACAACCATTTAAAGTCTTTGGAAATTGCCTGAAGGCATACAGAAAATGACTACTGTTATTAAAGAGGATTTACTACAACTAAGTAAGTACAGCCAGAGACAGTGGCATCCGAACCATGACTCACTCCCTTTCCCTTCTCAGATCAGACAGTGTGGCAAAGAGCCTCTCCTCCAAGCTCCTAGTTGAGGGCTATGGTATCTCTCTGGGAGGAACAGGCCACCAGCATTTCTGATCTCCCCCACACTGAGATACATACAGCAGAGGACAAATTTGAGAAAAGTGCATCCAAAGATTTCTAGGCTTCTTTTACTCATCTCCGCTCATAAAGGGAAGGCTCTACCTCACAGATGGCACACTAAAAGTTTCTGGACCCCACTCTCCCTCACCTCAGTTTTTTTGTAGGATGGAGGTTCCATGTTGGAAGAAGTAAGTAGATAAAGACAAGAAGGTGGTAGCCCAGTACCCCACTCTTAAAGCAGGGATATTGCCCATAAAGAAGCATTCCACAGTCCTGATGCCCGCTCCAAATATCTCTGTAAGGAAGCTGACTGTATTTCAACACAGTGGGGAAGCACAAAGGTAAGAGAACTCTCAAATACAACAAAACAATTAAAATAAGGATGGTAGGGGCGCCTGGGTGGCTCAGTGGGTTAAGCTGCTGCCTTCAGCTCAGGTCATGATCTCGGGGTCCTGGGATCGAGTCCCGCATCGGGCTCTCTGCTCGGCAGGGAGCCTGCTTCCCTCTCTCTCTCTCTCTCTCTCTCTCTCTCTCTCTGCCTGCCTCTCTGTCTACTTGTGATCTCTCTCTGTCAAATAAATAAATAAATAAATAAATAAAATAAAATAAAATAAGGATGGTAGCTTCATGACAGGTACAAGCTAAGCCATAGGCCCAATGCTAGTTTATCAGAGAAAACCAGAAAAACAACAAGTAAGAAGGGCCCTCTTGATGTCAGAGCAAACCTCAAACAATAACCTCAAAAATTATCCCTGTAAAGGAGCCTAAATTTAATTGGATCAGACTATGGAGCAAGTTGAGCCCTATGGCACTGCTGAAAACAATAGGGTAATTGGATTGCAAAAGTAGAGCCTAACACCTGGCTGTGATACCAAGAGAGACACACAACTTTGAACAGAGAAATCAGAGAAAGAGAAAGTCAAAAGAGAGCCCTGTTATCCCAGGGTGGTTGAGCTTATGCCCAAGGTTGTGCCCTCTGAGGAGCAACATCAAAGGGTACCTACTGTGGGGAAAAACAGACTTCACCAGAATAAAATAGTCAGACGTTAAAAAAAAAAAAAAAAAAGCAAACAACAATAATACACTCATGGGAACATGGCTCAGTATCCAGAGTTGCTGCAATATATTAAAGTTTTTGAAGATTTTATCCATTTTTGAAGGGGGACAGAAGGAGAAAGAGAAGCAGACTCCCCACTGAGCAGGAAGTCCAATGCTCCAGCCCAGGACCCTGAGATCGTGACCTGAGCCAGAGCAGACACTTAGCCAACTGAGCCACCCAGGTGCCCCAATATATTAGTTTTGAATAACAAGTTACACAACATGCAAAGAAAAAGAAAAGTATGACACATAGGGGAAAAGGCAGGCAACGAAAACGACCTATGAGAAGGACTGACTGTCTGATCTAACAACAAAACTTCAAAGTAAACATTATAAATATGTTCAAAAGACTAAAGGAGACTATGCTTAAACAAGTGAAGGAAGGTATGATATCACCAAACAGAGAGTATTGCTAGAAAGATATATATTATTGGGTGCCTGGATGGCTCAGTGGGTTAAGCCTCTACCTTCGGCTCAGGTCATGATCTCAGGGTCCTGGGATGGAGGCCTGCTGAGCAGGGAGCCTGCTTCCCCCCTCTTTCTGCCTGCCTCTCTGCCTACTTGTGATCTCTCTCTCTCTCTGTCAAATAAATAAATATTTTTTTAAAAAAAGACAGCTATTATTAAAACAAAGTAACTTATGCAGTTAAAAAATACAGTAACAAAAAAATCCACTAGGGGGATTCAACAGTGAAATCGAATGAGGAGAATATCAGTAAGCTTGAAGATAAATCAACAGAGATTTCTAAATCCCAAGAATGGGGAGAAAAAAGAATGAAGAGGGGCACCTGGGTGGCTCAGTGGGTTAAGCCTCTGCCTTCAGCTCAGGTCAGGATCTCAGGGTCCTGGGATCGAGCCCCACATCAGGCTCTCTGCTCAACAGGGAGCCTGCTTCTCCACCCCCCTCTGCCTGCCTCTCTGCCTACTTGTGATCTCTATCAAATAAATAAATAAAATCTTTAAAAAAAAAGAAAAAGAAAAATGAACACAGCCTCAGAAAAATGTGTACCACTGAAATGCACAGCAACACAGGCATAATGTGAATACCAAATAGGGAGGACAAGAGAAACAGAAAGGGAAAGATAAAGAAACAAAAAAATATTCAAAGAATTAATGGCTGACAACTCACCAAATTTGACAAAGAATAATCTAGATGTCCAAATAGCGCAATAAATTCTAACACATTCAAAGAGATCTACACCAAGACACTTCATAATAAAAATGTTTGTCTAATAAAAGAAAATCTTGAGAACAGCAAGACAAAAATGACTTGCTATTTACAAGAGAACCCCAATAGGATTAACAGCTGACCTCTCATCAGAAACAATGGAGGCCAGGAAGCAGTGAAATGATATATTCCACTTGCTGAAAAGCAAAAAAAAAAAAAAAAATTAACCAACAATCAGATACTTATTAAAAATATCTCTCAAAATTGAAGGCAAAATAAGGACATTCCCAGATAGGGGCACCTGGGTGGCTCAGTAAGTTAAGTGTCTGCCTTTGGCTTGGGTCATGATCCCAGGGTCCTGGGATCAAGCTCCATGTTGGGCTCTCTGCTCAGCAGGGAGCCTGCTTCTCATTCTCCCTCTCGCTCCCCCCTCTTCTTTCTCTGTCAAATAAATAAGTAAAATCTTAACAAAACAAAACAAAAAAAGACATTCCCAGACAAAAACTGAGTGGACTGGTTAGCCAGCAGACACACCATACAAGAAATACTAAATAAAGTTGTCCAGCTCAAAAGAAGTGATCCTAGGAAGTAATTCAAATTCACATGAAAATGAGAAAGGGCACTGGTAAAGGTAATTATATAATTTGACAATATATATGCCTATTCTGTTTTCTTCTCTTAATTTCTTTTAAAAAATTGTAGGGGCACCTGGGTGGCTCAGTCGTTGGACATCTGCCTTTGGCTAAGGTCATGACCCTGGGGTCCTGGGATCAAGCCCCAAATGGGGCTCCCTGCTCAGTGGGAAGCCTGCTTCTCCCTTTTCCACTCCTCCTGCTCATTTTCCCTCTCTCACTGTCTCTCTCTCTTTCTCTGTCAGATGAATAAGTAAAATTTTTTTAAAAATTGTATAGAAAACTATGTATATAATTATGGATTTGGACCCATAACATCAAAATGTAATATATCTGTGAATAACAGCAGAAAGGAAGTAGGTGGGACTAAAGTTGTATCACACTAAGGAAATGACTCTGGTTGAAAACAAATTAAGAAAACCAGAAATTGTAACTAAGAAAGTAATAAGACAAATGCTACAAATATGTCTTTGTGCTCCTTTCTTCTGTCAGTTTCTTTAAAAAACATGAAGTTACATAAGGTAATAATTATAACAAGGTATTGGGTTTCTAACAACCTAGATGCAATATATAGAGCAATAATAGCACAAAAATTAAAAAGTGGGAAGGGGGCGCCTCGGTGGCTCAGTCCTTAGGCATCTGCCTTTAGCTCAGGCGATGATCTTAGGGTCCTGGGATCAAGCCCAGCATCTGGATCCCTGCTCAACGGGAAGCCTGCTTCTCTCTCTCTCTCTCCCATTTCCCCTCCTTGTATTCCCTCTCTCACAGTCTCTCTCTGTTAAATAATAAAATCTT